AAGTAGAAAATCAACATTTCCCAGAAAGCTGGAAATTCGTCGAGGAATTTCTATAAACTAGAAAATCCCCGGCGATTTTTCGGTTGATTTTCTATAAACTAGAAATTAATTCAAGATTACAGTGTATTTGTTCCACTGGCTCTTTTCTTCTGTCGCCAAAGCAAAGTGAATAGCCATAAAGAACATCTTATGTATAGCTATAAGTTTCAATGTGAATTTTCTTTTCGCTAAATGAAATTTATTCTTTTTTGCAGTTTTTGATGACTGATTCGATAACCATATGGAACAATTATTTTAAATTGTGCCGCTGAAAATGTGAATTTGTTTTCTTATGATGCAAAACTTGGCTTCCATCTTTTAATATCTGCATTTTGTTTTTTTCCCATATCATCAAAAACAGCTTATATTCTAATCTTTTTGAATTAATTTTTTGATGCTTTGATATTTATTTTCTCTCTATGTACACTTCACAATAGTCGATAAACGCGTAGCTGGCGAGGACATTACTCTGAACACATATAGGATCAGACAAACTGGGAATACGTCATACTTCATGGGTACCGACAAAAGTGCAATGTATCACATCATTTGCATAATACTATGTTTGATCAGTGGAACATGGAATGAAGGCATCAAGTATATAAGTAACTGTCATAACTGAATTAAGTTTTCTTTCTGTCGTTTTAATGATTCATCTACCTATTTCCAGGTTCGAAGACAAGTGAAAGCGATCGCTCAGCACCGAAAGATATTAGCAGAATTCTTCAAAACGCTAATCGAAATGTTAACGTTGGCGTTGCTGTCAATACTAATTTGCTTCAAACTGCAGGCCCCTATCGCGACTTGGTCATTGAACAATATAACAGTATCTCTGCTGAAAATTCGATGAAAATGACAGCATTGCAACCAACAGAAGGCAAATTTGATTTCAGCAGCTATACAATTCGGGATGTTGCGTTAAAATTTGGCCTCAAACGTATCCACGGTCATACACTTGTCTGGTCGAAATCATTACCAAAATGGGTGGTAAATGCCGAAAATGCCACCTTACCTAAAAATACTACTCTTGCCGCTCGCTTTGACTTGATTATGAAAAAACATATCCAGACTGTGATCAAACATTATAACGCTCCTACTACCAAGTACAGAGATGCGGAAGGAAATCCGCTAATGAAATCGTGGGATGTCTGCAACGAAGTTATGTATGACAATGGCAGTTATCGTGGTGCTCTCGACATACAAAATGGCAATGATAAAGGTAGTATATGGTATCGAACCATGGGTCAATCATACATTCAAAACGCATATGTCTACGCACGTCAAGCAGCACTACAGAACAATGACACAAATCTAAAATTGTTTTACAATGATTACGGACAAGAATATTCATCCAGTAAACGAGATGCAATTTATACTATGTTAATGGGTTTGAAACAGGTTATGGTCGACGGCCACCCAGTTATTGATGGTGTCGGTTTACAGATGCATATTAACTACGACACGTCAAATACGCATATTGAATTAGGTTTAAGAAAAATGGCTTCAACGGGTCTTATGGTGCACATTGCCGAATTAGATATCAGTATTAACAGAGAGGGAGTTCCTCTATCACAGACTATTATCGATCAACGAGCTGTTTTACAAGAACAAAAATATCGAGATGTTGCTATGATATACCGTCGTGTCGTTCCTAAAGAACAGCGCTGGGGAATTACATTGTGGAATGTTGGTGACAAAGATTCGTGGCTGGCTAAAGATGCAAAAGGACAGCAAATTAATTACCCATGCCTATACGATATTAATTATGTGAAAAAGAGTGCTTTTCATTCTTTCTATGCAGGTTTGAATGTTGCATTTTAAACCTTTCCGGACTTTTGACTTCGGAATAATACATATCCATCTTACTCAAATGACAAAACTTTGCGGTCTGAACTGCAGCACAGAAATTTTCGTTTAAAAAAGTATTATGAAACTAAGTATTAATAACTAAGCACCAAACATAGATAGAGGCTTGCGATTTTCACTAATCGATAGCCAACGCGATCTTTTTACAAGCAAAATCGATTTTTGAAAAATGTTTTGAAGCCGAATTTCCAGAGGATCTATACAACATCAGCTTGGATTTTCCGAAATTCAAATAGGAATCTATTGATTTTTTCGGGACATGTATAGTCCAAGCGTCCTCTACGAAACCGAGTCTATAAACATATGTGCGCAAAAACTTTGCTAAGACGAAGACTTTTGCTCAATTCTCTTTTTAATTAAATAAGTACGTAACAAGAATCGTAACACAGTTTAAAAATTCCTAGCAAAAAATATAAATATATACTGGCAAAAAATGCCTAAACAAACAGTCATCTGATATTTTCTGTTCTTATAGAATAGTTGTTTTTCTGTGATAACATGTCTCTTTTTTATTTTCGAAAGTGAAGTGAAAACACTTTCGAAGAGAAAGAATACACATGGAAGCAAAGAACTAAACTGAGGAGTGTTTGAATGATAAAGACAAAGAGTTTTACGTTTTATTCTAACTTTAATTACATATAAAAAAATTGATCGGTTGGGTTCGGTTTGGTTGCAGAAAAAGACGAACCGATCCCACCTCTGATTCCTATATAACATAGACAAAAAACTCGTTTTATTTAAAACAGTCTTTATTTTTTCTCTATTCTATATACAAAACAAGACTTTTGTTCTGCAATTCTTGTACATGTCTTATTACATCGATATTGTATCGGAGTCGAGCCATTTTCATGTAACAAAATTTAACAATACTTAAAAAAACTCGTTAGAGAGAGAAATACTTTTTCAAATGTTCCAATTTTTGGAGAAAAACCTCGAACGGGTTCATTCTTTTCTTATTGCATGAGACTATATATGTTACAGGGAATGTGCAAATTCCCTGAGAAATTTCTACATTCTCTGATAGTATTCAGAAAATATGGGAATATGGCATTGAAATTTCTCTTGGATTATAATCAACTGATAAGTTATGCAGGCAACTAATGTTTGAGGTTAGAGTAGAAAAAAACGCCAAATTTAGTAATCTAGTTCATAAAATTATGTGATTAACCCTTTTCTTTCGATGGGACTCATTGATATGATCAAATGTCATACTTTCAACTGACGAGGGAACCTCTTGAGGTTATAAATCGCTTTTGAACTCGGACTACTTGTATCTTGTAGACCTCAGTGAGTAGTGAAATACCCTAAGTTGGCTCGTCCCCATGGTGCTTTGTTGCTGAGATATTGA